GATTTATTTTATTTTTATTAATATATTTTTGATTATTAATATTTATTTATCATTTATTTATTATTTGTTTTTATTATTATCATTTGATTTATATTTATTATTTATTTCTTTTATTATCTTTCTTTTCTTTATTCTTTATTATTTATATTATATTCTTATTTCTTATTATTTATTTTTGATTTTAAATGATTGTTTCAATATTCATCATTTTATTTATATCTATTATATTAATCTTACATCATTAAATTCTATCATTAAATATTGAATAATCAATGTGATATAACAAATAATTTAATTAATATATCATTATAAAATGAAATGATTAATAAATTATTTCATAATAAATATTAAATTCATGAAATAATGAATAATATAATATAAAATGATAAATAAAAATAAAAATGATAATAATAAATAAATAATAATACAAAATATAAATAATAATAAATATAAAAATGATATAATACAAATATAATAATCAAATCAATATATAAATAAAAATAAATAATAATAATAAACAAATAATAAAATTGAATATATTTCTTATTAAACAATTGAATGAATAAAATAAAAATAAATATAATAATAACATAATAATAAAAATGTATACTTACATTGAATCAAATATCATTTCTGAATTATTTATAATTCAGAACAATTTACCATAAAATGATATAAAATATAAACAAATATAATTGAATATAGAATGATTATTTAATTTACTTTTTTATTTTTTATTTTTTTAGGAGCAAAATAATAAAAACTATTATTTTATTGATGCAAAATATTTTGCCCATAATGTTAAATAATTTGCATCAATAAATTAAACACTTTTTATTTGTATATTTCTAATTTTTATAATAAAAATACATCCATTATTTCATCATTATTTTCATCATTTATTATCTCATTTTGAATTATTCTTTTTTATCTTCTTTCTTTTTATAATCTCAACATTCTACTTTTATTCTTTTCATCTTCTTCTACTTCCTAATTTCACTTTTTCTTTTATATCATTCTTTTTCATCATTTTTCTCTTATTTCCTTTTTTTTCGTTGCCATTTTGGATCATTTATATAACCTTCAACTTCATCAATTTTCACATCAACATATCCTCCAATTTTATTTCTATCTCTATCTTCAATAATAATTATTATATTCTTTATTTATTATTCTTTGATCAAATATTGATATATTAACTTTCCAATTATCATTATTTGAATCAGATAGTATATTGGATACTTTTCTATTTGTCCATTCTTCTAGTTGTTTCATTTCTTCCATTGTATTCATTCATTTCATTATTCTTAATCTTTCTTCTTCTTGTCTTTTTCTTCATCTTTTATCTTCTTCCTCTCTAAATAATCACTATAATTTGTAAACCATTCTTCTTTCTTTTTGTTAAATGATTGTGTGGTTTTATCTTTTTCTTTTGGTGTTCTGAATATTTTATCTTTCATGACCATTTCTTCAATTGAAATGATTTTATTGATTATTTCATTCCGTGTTTTACTTAGTATTTCTTCATCTTTATTACATTCTTCTATTATTTTATTCATTTTATTCTTTATTATTTCTATTGTTTTAATTGTTTCTTGACTTTTTTCTATTATTAGTTTTCTTCTTCTTTCTGTTTCATCAATCCTATCAAATATTCCTTCTCCTCTTTTAATTGCTTCTGAATATGTTTCATCTGCTTTTATTTCAAATATTTCATTTTTAATACTTCCTAAATAATAATGATATTGTTTATTAATATCATCAATTGATTGTTGAATATTTGGAATTGTTTCTATTTCTTCTTTAAAGAAATGAGTGTTCTTATTTATTAACTCTTCCATTTTAATTTAATTAATATCAGATTAAAATCAGATGATTAAATAATTAAATACATATTTATAACACATCATTTTATTTATTATTTTATCATTTATATCTTATTAATTTTTAAATAAAATAAAATTAACAAACAATATAACATCAATAAATAAGATATAGAATAAAAAATGAAAGGATAAATCAAATCAAACACTAATAACAATAAGATTCAATAAAAATAAGAACAACTAGAAAAAGAGATAATACATAACAAGAATAACAATAACAAATACACCAATACAACAATATGGTAAATAAATTAACAAGGAAATAAAAAGAGAAAAATACACTATAATAAATACACAACATTGATAATGATGTCTGCATTAATTATGAAAACGAAAGAAACTTCAACAATGCAAAATACAGAAATAAAGAATAAGAAGAAGTTAATTTAAAGATGTAAATAAGAAGGAATAATAAATAAGAAAGAGATAAAGAAAAATACAACAAAACAAAGAAATAGAATAATAAATGAAGTGGCTATTTTTAAAATATGGTTAAATAAGAAATTCAGAAATGAACAATGGAAGGTATAATAAATAAGATGAATAAAATGTGATAAAATCAACTTGCAGTAATTTTAATCAATGGGTTAGCAAAAACAGAAAGCATTAAATTAATAAAAGAATTAAAAATTGAAACTAATAGTACCATAGAAGTCAAGGGCATTGTAATTAAAAACATGACCGCTTTTATAGAGCATTGTAGAGGTTATAATAAAACACATCCCTATAGGGCCACTAGAAAGTCTCTGCTGAACTGTAAACAGTAAACCAATCCTATTAAAATTTGATTTATTTCTTTATACTTTTGTTTAAACAAAAAATAATTTTTATAATCTAAAAAAACAAAAAGTAATTTTGATGGATGTTGATAAAACCCTTCAAGATAAACTTCAACAAATAACCTCTTTATTCCCACAAATATCACAACGACTTATCAACGAAGTAATTCACATATGTTACCAATCAACAAACGTTTGTTCGTTAAGAATTTTCATTTCTTATAGAAATTCATAATAAGATTCCGAATGTTGTGTTTCGCCTTGAAGAATTTACACGATCAATATGGCCAACGTACAGACCTATTGTAATTGACATTATTGATTGCCTATGTGACAAAACAAATGAAACTGATATATTTTTAACATCACAATTTATTAAACAGTTTTCATTTAGGTTACTTGAAATTATTACACTAGTGTCTATGTGTAGAGACATTCAGAAACAACAACTTTTAGCAACCATTCGAAAATGGAAAACATTAAAAATATTTGAAAATACATTATGTGAAGAATTAGAGTCATTGGTCTCTTCATCAATTTATCAAATCTCTAACTATGTTCCAACTCAAAAGTTTGTTCCAAGTGCAAATAATTGTGTTAATAAAAAAACAAATACCTCAACAGAAATTATCAACATCGACTCATCTTCTGATGAAAAGTCTTTAAATCAACAAATTAATAAACAATCTCTTTTACCAAAATTTAGTAACTCAAAAAATACTTTACTTCCGAATACTAATGATAATCTCACAAGAAATACCTGCCACAAAAGAAATAAGTTTGAGTCATATTATTTTTCAAGAAGTCATTCTCTTTCGACAAACCACTGTTATTCTTCTCAAAGTTTTGACAGTAGAAATTCGAGAAATAGATCTAGAGAGAGATCATATTCTAGAAGTAGTTCAAGAGATAAAGACTTTGGACTACTTCCTCGTTGGGAGAATTCAAGAAATTATTACCATTCAAGGTCTCTCAGTAGATCAAGAAAAAGGAGTTCAAGATCCTTTTCTAGAAGACAGATATCTCCTAGAAGGTATAATCGTTCAGAAAGAAGGCATAGTTATTCAGATAGAAGAAGAAGTTTATCAAAAAGAAGAAGTCTTTTTAAAGATGATAGAACTTACCCATTTCCTGAGATTAGTATAAAAGAAGATTCTGAACCAAAAACAAACCAATTTAATAAAACACCTTTCTATCTAAAAACAAGTAGAGAAGACAAAAGACAAAGTCAACGAAAAAGAATGAATGAACTAGAGTTTCAGGCATTTCATGAAATAAAAGAAGGTAGTAGTAGTAGTAGTAGTAATAGTTATGACAGTCCTTCTCCAAGAAAAGAAGACCAAGATTTTTTTGAACGATCAAGTGAATTTCTTTGCCATAATAATGTTAGTACTAAAGTAATAACTAATAATGTAAATAAAATTAATACAAAAATGATTCAAAAAGAATTAGATGAAATTGTCTTACAACCTCCTATTCTAGAAAAGAAAAATGAAACAAAACTAAGTTTGTGTTTGTTTAATCTTCAATAAACTATCAACTCATTATGTTGTAGTTAAAACAAATGTCGTCATCTTTTGTGATATTCCGTCATCATGGAAAACTAAAGAAGATGTGATCAACACACTTGGAGGTTCATCTATAAATTCAATTGAAATAATACCAGAGCATAGGTGTTGTTTTGTCTCATTTGTTAGACATGATGATGCAATGAGGTTTAAAGTGTCACCAATTCCTGGGTCAGGTGCGTGTTGGGGAAAAGAGGTATGGATGAAAAATTATATAATAAGAGAAGATGGTGTTGTTGAAATTCCTGTGAAAATGATTCCAAAAGATGTTCATATATTTAAGGATGGTACATATGAAATTTACTAAAAGTTTTATAAATTTATTCATCATTCTTTTAAATATTCTATTTATTATCTTTCTTCTCTTAAAAAAAGTAATCAGTAAGGTGTAAATTTGTCTTCAAAGAAATCAGACAAATGCCTCAATTCATCACTTTACCAGAGCCCAACAGAACGTTGGGATATTTATATAATTAAAAATTCTTCTAATGAAAAATTGGTTAATAAAAATAAAATTATGGAATTTTTATTCAATAACAAAATATTTTAATATATTAAATAACTAAATTCCAACAATACTTCTTCATTCTTCCAATAATAGAAACAGATTATTCTAATAAGAACTGCACTCTTCTGCATCCATTCCATCGAATTTGCTCTTTTCCACTTAAAAACATAAGTCCTAATTTCCCGAGTGAATGGATTTGATAAGAGTGTTTGTCTGAGTTCTGTTCGATTCTTTGATATTCCAATTGAGAATAAAAGGGTCTTTTTATTTGAAAAAGTTATTCATTGCTATGGCTGAACATTGTCCAACTCCACACAACGGCGCTAAATACGGAGAGATTGCTGAAACCGTCCTTATGGCTGGTGACCCATTAAGAGTAAAACTTCTTGCAGATACTTATTTAACTGATGTTGTTCAATACAATAGTGTTAGAGGAGCAGTAGGATATACTGGATATTATAAAGGAGTGAAATTATCAGTTCAAGCACATGGTATGGGTATGCCATCTATTGGAATTTATGCTTATGAATTATTTAATTTCTATGGAGTAAAAAGAATTATTAGAATTGGTTCTGCTGGAGCTTTTGATGAAAGTTTAAAACTTGGAGA